TATATATATATATATATATATATATATATATATATATATACATATATCACCGGCTTGCGAGCAAGCTTGGTGCAGACGCAACAAGAATAAGAGCTTGATAAAGCACAGTAGAAAGCGGGTCAGACAGTCCAGGTGAATAACGAGAATAATTTTTTTTAAATTTTACCTTACGCTTTTTGAAATTTTTGTGTTTTAGTTTATTGTATTTATTATTATTTATTTATTTTTTTAATGGGGATTTCAACAGGCAGACCGTACAGCATTCTGGGCCATATCTCTCAGGGTCCCCAATCAACGACAATCCTCATCCCTTGGGCCCCAACCTAGAAGGCAAGTGCGCCAACCGATACCAAAGCTAAAGCCAGCTTCTTCGTACCTCTACGCAATGTCCTGGTCTGACCACCACAGCGCTTCTTCCAGCCTTACCCAGCACATGCAAAGAGAGCAGGAAAAGGTAGACGATGGGCAAGCATACGCAAAACGTGACCAAACCATCGGAGGCATTGTATAGCGATTATTTTTGTTAGAGAACGACTATCGGCATCCAGCACACGGCAAATTTCGTCATTTTTCACACGATTTTCTCACCAGACAGGCAATGCTTCGAAGGCATCGTTGGCAAAATACAGAAAGTCGATTAGCATCCCCCACTTTGAGAGACTGTCTTGCAACCATAAAGCAGAACACTATGAGCCGTGGCTATGTACACCCTTCCCTTAAGGGACTGTTGGATGTCATGACGGCGCCATAGGTGTCGCAGGTTAACAAAAACTGCTCTAACTTTTACTGTTCGTGATTTGACCTCTTGCCTAACACCACCTCCAGCTGTGATCAAGCTCCCGAATTACTTAAAGCTCTCAACTACTAGCTGATCACCACAGAGGGCGAGTACAGGAACAGACTCCTGCGTGTTAAACTGCGTGTTGTCATCCAACAAGGTGATTTCATCAGCATATTCTAAGTCAAGGACTCTGTTCCCTAGGAGAAATTCGATTTTACTGTTTTCTAGACCAAACCAAGCATTATCTAGAATTTCGTTGAGGAGGAATGGCAATACAGGACAGCCTTGTTGCACTCCACTGCAAACCGCAAAGGTTGGCGAAAGGTGGCTACAAACGCTAACCCGACATGAGTTGAAACAACTCATTGAGAATCGACACACTTCTCAGGCACCCCATTTCTAAACAAACAGTTCTATATTGCGGTCCTATCGACAGCTGAAGTCCACGCGGATGTCTAAGAATATAATGATCGTTAGTCTTTGATAAGCATGGCGGAGCTCTAGCAGCTGTCGGAGGGTTGAGATTTAATCGATGCAGCCACAACCGGCGTGAAACCCAACATGCTGCTCGCGGGCATTTTGCACACGTGTCTTGTACAATCTATGGAGGATGATAAACGTTAACAGTTTTAACTTGTGTTAAAATTCACTTACGAATGTAGATACTTTTGGATCATGCAGAAGTAAGATGAAGAGAGTTGATGGAAGGAAGATTTTACGTACGTATTAGGGTTATTAGCTGTCAGTGATTGAAGTGAAAGACTTGGGCTCCAAGAGTTAGAAGTGTTCGTAGTTTTTTGCATCATGGGTTGTTCAACTACTCTGTACTCCAGTCCGAAGCAAGCTTTGTTCGCCGATGTGTCTTAGACTTTGCCTAACCACATATTGTTTGTAAGACAGCAGCACTCCGGGTGAGTTGGTGGCCTCTTGAGAGTTTTATCGGGCAGATAAAATTAAACAAGGATCCATGAACCTTTTTTCAATTTTATAAAACATACCGTGATTTACTTGGCTTACAGTTTGAACTCAGGCGCGTGTAAAAATAGATGTAATATAGGAAATAAATATAAATATAAAAATGATCCATTTCGTTGGTGAGTCGCATTCAGCGTATTGTAATACTGTTCGAGATGTGATTTTTATTCTCGAAACCCTTTTATTATTACACGCCACTGTGATGTACAGCAGACGGGCAGACCCCATATTCACGAAGACCTGCTGTTCAGTGATGGTAACCGGGAACCTTAGCCCCGGAGTGAACAACATAAGGGGTGGTATTGAAGCGGACGACATTGTTGCCTACCACCAAAGTTCGGTGGTGGTGACGGGACTAGAACCTCGAACCACGGTCTGAAGCACACCGGTGACTGCGCCGTCACAATCCTAGGGGTCCCTGGCACTACAGGGACCGTTTAGGCAGTGAGCATGCGCCCACCCTATTCATGGTTAACTGCGATTATGCGGCTTTTCTCATCTGTGATCTGGAAACACTCGATAGCGTACAACCTTGCCCTTCAGTAATGTTCTCCAGCGCCGATTGTAACAAACAGTGTTCCACGGAAGACTAATCTAGGTCACTTGTTTGATCAATAATATCTGCAAAAAATTGTAAACGTTATTTACTCTGGCGTGCTGTCTAACGGTATTGAAGAGACGGTGCTGCTAAGATTGTCAGCTTCAGTTTCTCGAATAAGAACTTGCAATGATGTGACCTTGTTTCACGCAGTTCAGAAGGAACTCACTCTGCTGTGCTGTCTAGTTTTAGGGTGGTGGTGGCGCAATGGTTTAGTCGCTGTCGCAGGCGTGCTTTGGACCCTATGGTCCGAGGTTCAAGTCCCGCCACCGCCACCCAGCTTTAGTGGTAGGCAGCTTTGCTGTCGTCCGGTTCAATACCACGCCCAACCTATTGGGGCCCTGTGTGGTTCACCACTCCAAGTCCCGGGGCTTAGGTTCCCGGTTTCCATCAATGAATCACAGGTCCTCGTGAATATGGTGTTTACCCCGTCTACTGTTCGTCGCACTAAGGTGTGTATTAAGAAACAACAGCATCCACAGGCCTTGGAGTCAAATCGGCTTCCTAGGGTCTAGGACTTCAATCTTTACGCTTTGCTCCTCTGGTATCCCGACTGGCTCTGAGCTTGTAATCTCAACATCGGTCATTTTTCTTACGCGGCCTCTATCCACAGTATCTGTCACACTGGTCCATCTCTCAGAATTTTTGAATCGCATAAAAGTACTCAAAATGTAGTTTATTGAAATCTCTACTTCATGTCCTGTAAAAGGTCATCATGCATATTGATTTCGAATTTTAAGGTTATCGTGTAAGTAGTGAGTTCACCAATTCGGATTCCGGTAAGTCATCTCACGTTGCTATTAGTATGCGTACCGGTAGATAGGTGGCATTAGTCTATCTAATGTGGTAGTATACCTGTCTAACCCAATGCTGTACCGCATGATTCACCTTCATTAGTTTTCATAGTTGTGAGTCTGTACTGTATTTCACTGTCCTGTTTCGTTCTTTTTTCCCTCATAGGTCGCGGTGGGGGCATACGTGCTCCGCGCCCTCCGCGACAACCCCCTCCACCCGGTGTCGCTCCTACGGAAGAGGAAGAGGATGAGACAAGCAACACAACTACCATAAATGGTTCGACTTCTACTGTTACTGCGGTATCCACAGCAATCGCGAACACATCTGATCCCTATGGTTACAAGTTGCCGCCGCCTCCCATAACACCAATGATGCCTGGTGTAGGTGGTTGGCCGGGTGCCGGCATGATGGTCCCATCTATGACCGGTTATCCTGCGACTCCTGGTTATCCTCCGTCTGTACCCTCTACTGGCGGCACAGGTGTTTATACAGTTCCCACCGCCTCAACTGGTGCAGCGACCCATGGCGGTACCTCGTGGCCCACGACCGCACCAACTCACGGTTGGGGAGACTCTGGAACATTGCCCCCACCCCCACCAATGCCATACGGAGGTAGGAACTTAGAAAGCATTTTTCAGATTTTGTAGTTTTACCGAGTAACTTCTGGTTTTGTGTAATTTTTTTATCCACGTTTTAGTAATCACGATTAATCCAAAATAACCGAACACGGGCCTTAATCTTCCATAGTTCTTATCATCCAGTTTTTACGGTGCATACACCTTTTCAAGTAATCTGGTCTGATAAATAACAAGAACACCGTTACTGTCAGTTCGCTGTCATCCTCCAATGAATCCAACCAACCAGAGGGACGGGAGGCACCTACTTTATTTGCTCACTGTGTATTGGTTTCTCGCCCGTACGTCATCTGTTGATCAGTTCAGCCTGGTGCACCAACTTCAAATAAGACATGATTGGGCATTCGCAAAACATGCCCTGGCCGGCGAATCGCATTAGGCTGAATTAAATGTGAGAGCCAGTTTTTCCTCGATAAATTTCCAAACACACGGTTTACCTCTAAGTTACTAGCGTGCTCACGACGTTACAAGGAATCACTAGTTGAAGCGTGTTGCGCATAATCAGCGGTCTGTAAGCGGTTTCTTGCAATGTCTATTTCATAATATGGAATATCAATTCGGCAATGAGGGTAGGTGGAATTAGCGTCTCACTTTCCGAACTACGGTTGTTAACTTCTCTTAACAGGTTGACTGTAGACACGAAACATAATGGACCAACTATAGCGGTGTTCATTTATCAGTTCTCAGTAGGTGTAACTTACCGCTGGCAGTCCACGACGTGACGGCTCCTTGACGTGGCTGTGACGGCTTGTGCACCTCTGACCCAACGAGCTACATGAAACGGCTTTTATCATGCCTGGAGGGTTGAAGGATAAGAGGTCAGACGAAGTCGTCTCGTCCTCCAGGTTGGGGGTTCGACTAGAATTAGCGTTTCAGTCGATAAAAAATGACGTTCGTGCATCTGAATATCTCTGTATCAGTAATCGACTGAACTTTTCAATCCTCTCTTCGATCCTATTTTCAACCTTTCCTGTCTTTCTCCTAATGTTCATCCAAATGAGTGGCCGAAAGATAGCAACCCAAACCGGCGCACGATGGTATGTGGTTAACTGCAAACTGAAACTGAAACTGTTCACCAGGAATAAACCTGCTGACTCGTCGAATTCAGATTAGTAGGCTTTGCTGGCTAGGGCACGTATTGCGTATGCCCAGCTGTCGTCGG